AAACTCGGAAATACAAAATAAAAACGAAAACTAAAGCTAAAATATACCCTTTGGAAGTCAAAACCCCATTCAACCATCTTAAAAACCTATGTATACCTCCTTCCCCACCCTTTAAAACTCATGTATACTACCTCTTTAAGGTACTTTGCTCATGAAACATTCAAATATAACGCTCATATGTTCTATTTGAATATAACGCTCGAGCGTTCTATTCGAAGAGGCATTCTATTTGGAAAAAAAAAGAGTATAAATGAAAATCTTATTTTTTTAGAGTAAGTTGAATATAACGTCCGGACGTTATTTTCAGGTGAAGACGCTAGTGAACCCACTTCCCAGGTGCACTCGACCGTGATCTGATTCACTTAAAAGGGAAAGCTGACTCGACTGACAAACACCGACTATGCTCCAGATGAATACAGACTTTGACAACGGACACAGTGAACGACTCAACCTCCAAGACGAAGATGAGTGACGCGACACTCATTTAGTGGATGACAGTTAATATGCAAAGGTAAGAATGAATCTTTCGCTAAAACATAAGAAGATCCATCGCGACGAACAAATACATTGAAAAGAAATCTCGGTGCGAGTATGGACCGTCGTCGATTACTTATCTGTGTAGTGGGACTCCATCGCGACGAACATAAGAAGATCCATCGCGACGAACAAATACAAAGGAGTTGTCAGACGCGAATATCGCTACGCACGTGAGAGAGAGAGAGATAAATTTTTAATCTGTAGGATGAACAAAATCGAAATGAATCTTCCGCTAGGACTTAGGTAGATGCATTGCCAACTCCAAACTCGCGTGCAGCTTGACACCGCAATTCGTATTTTGTTTCATCCCACATCTAGTGGTACGTTTTCCTTTCTCTCGTTTCTCATGCACTTGGCCCTGGTTGTAGCCGGGATGCAAATCGGCGAACGTCAAGGTAAGGAGGGCGATCTCAGTGATGATGAGCAGCGTTTTTTTGGCTATTGTGAAGATGAGCAACAAGATTAACGGGGAAAGAATCAACCATGATGACGACAGGGAACACATATAAGCCTCGGGGCGATAAACAAACACGAATAACCCATTTTCTAACAACAAGGGAACGAACATGATTACGACAAATGAAGGTAACTCGACGACCCTGCCGATCATAATAATGAGGAAAATCACGAATCTGGACGATGAACAACTGTTAGAGAAGGACAATCCAGAAGATGAGTAGGATGGGTGTGGCCTCTTCCCCCCCTCGCCGCTCTTTTGCTTCCTTCTGTTGGTCTTCTTCCCCGCTTTCCACTTTGTAAACTCCCCGCTTGACTCTCTTTCCACACTTCTTTCCCTCCTTACAGTGTGTCTCAACCTACTATTTCGTGCGCAACTCGTTACACTAGCAACGGTCAATCCCATGCTCCGACGCTCAATTCGACCTTCCCACTTAATTTGTAGCTCATGAAACTCCCGGATCGAGTCTTCGTCCGCATGTTTCCATCAGGAATCAAACGAGATAGAGCTCTCCATCCCTCGTTTGACTTACTCCCTTCGTCTTTGTCATCCCGTCCCTGTTTTTTAACGTAACTAGCACAGATTCACGTTCAGATGTACTCCTACTCTCGGTCATCCTTTCTCTTATTTATGTTCTCCTTCGTCCTCACCTGGCCTGTCGGTTCCTCGCTTCCCTCGACTCCTACTGTATCGCGTGACCCTACAACCGCGCGATAAAAGACTATTCAACAACTCCAACTATCCTGAGGAAACTTCGAAAGCAATTAGCAGTCGAAGGCTCGATTAGTTTATCGCCTTTGTACTTAAGCTCGAAGAACGGTTGCATGCCAGTATCGTTGTGGGCTTCACTACAGTGCCCTGGGCCCGCTCCGGATTCGAACTCAAATCTGCAATTTAATAGTTGATGGGTGTACCAATTGCACTAGGCCCCTTCGTACCACGACCGGTACCGGGGCCCTGTCCTAGTACCGGTACCAAGACCGGTCTTAACAGAGAGTTAAAAAAATGAATAAAATAAAAATAAACGAAAAATAAAAAGGAGGTGGGGGTTGGGGAAGAGAGGGGACCACCGACACTCCCTCGGTCCTACTGCTAAAGTCGACAGCAAAAACCAAGGGGGATAGCCCCGCCGGACTCTCAACCCCTTAGTTTTCTTTAGGATGTTGTGCCGCTCCATCGTTGCCGGATACGCCCCAAGTCTGCACCCTTGGCCTATACTTACCACCACGGCGACCAGATACCGGTCCCCATCACTCGCCGGCCCAGGTTTCACCCGCAGTTGCCGCAGACGCCGCTCACTACGCCATGGCCAATGGCCATACTGCCATACGGGCAATCAAAATGTCTTACCGCGCTGCGTGCTTTACGACTAAGATGTAATTTAAAAAAAATACTCACCTTTATAAAAATTGCAGCACTGGTGGTCGGATCTGACGCGGGTCATAGTAATGCCCCCTCCGTGGCTGCACCGCCGTTAAACATACCAGAATCAAAAGAGGAGATTGCTTATTCTTAATCTTAATCGAAAGCAAAAGACTGATGGACAAATATGCTAGCTTTGTAACATCAATAAGAAAAGGAACCACGCGCACCTTAAAACCTGTGTGTCCGAAAATCGATTCAACATGGGGTCCGCGTTGAAAGATTCAACGCGCGTTGAATCCGCTTTGAATCCCCATAAAAAAAAAACGTTAGGCTGGTTACAATGGGACCCGCGATGATTTTTTTTGCGGGCTAAAAATAATCAAAAATAAATAAAAAATAGGGTTGTAGATCTTTTTGAGTTCTACAACCTCATATTTTTATTTTTATTTTTTGAGCTTTTACTATATTTAAAAAAAAATCAAAAACGTAAAGACAATCGGAAAAAAAAAAATAGATGAAAAAAGTTTTTTTTTTTTATTACACAGAGATATTTTTAGGGTTAGGAAAAAAAAAAACAGAAAAACAAGCTAAAAATATAGCGTTATAGATATTTCAAAGATGTACAACAACATTTTTTTTTTTTTTTACTTCATGTATTTAAAAAAAAAAACATAAAAGCAAATGAAAAAAGGAAAAACAGACACGCACTCACATACAGAGACACACAATATACACAACACTCACAAATTGTGACAAACACACATATGCACACACACATACACACACACGCCAACAATCATGCACTCACACACATACACACACTTACAAACACACATGCACAAACACATGCGCATACATACATATTCATGCACATACACACTCTCACACGTAGGCACACACATACACACATGAGCGCACACAAAGCACACCGGGGACGAGGTCCCATTAGCAACGGGATAGGATAGAAAGGAGTTTGTGGGGCAGTTGAGTGACCCAAATCCTGTTGTGCAGTACTCGTGATCCTACGGTCAACATTTTACTTGTATTATCCGAAAAAGTAAGGAGATCTTCGTTCCCCTCCCCCTCTCCTTAACAATGGGCATGTCGTGCAAAGAAAGCTTCCCGCCAGAATCTTTTCAATCGGTTGGAAGTGTGGCCAACCCCAAACGAGGGTGGGGTCGGCCTTAGGCCGACTGGATAGAAGATTTTCAGTATTTTACTTGCTGTTGTGCAATTATCTCATTGGGTGAAGCCCTCCTTCAATCACGGAGAATATGGAGGGTGTTAGGATCAGTGCTGACCGAAGTCAAGTTTATTCAAGAAAATGTGGCGGTTACTTTATTCACTGTTGTCGCAACCATCACCATCAAATCATTTGCGATCTGATGGCTGGGAAACACTCTGCCGTGATTTCCGATGGGAGGTCTCTGTTTTTTTTTTTTTTTTTTGTCTTTCTTTTATTTTCTCGGCCCAAAAATTCGTAATGAACCTGTCAGGCAGTTGCCACTCAGTGTCACACTGGATCGGCCACACTCCTAATATCCGACTGCTAATAGGACCTCGCCCGTGCACACACATAACTGGGGCCTTGGGGGTTGGGGCATGTGGGGGCAGATGGCTTAGAGGGCTTTTGGGTGAGTTTGGGGACTGGTGCCGGGGGGTTGGTGAGTGGCAGGCGGCAGGCCAGTCGGTTGGTCTAATTCGGTGGTATAAGAGGTGCTTCAAGGGTTAGTGTTTTTTTTTTTTTTTCCGCCTAAGGCCACGTGTTTCGGACCCTGCGCATCAATTCCGTTTTTCCGAAAAGCGCGGGAGCCGCGCGTTTTCGCGTTTAACGGGAACTCAACGGGATTCAACGGGAGTTTAATTCCCCCGTTCCCCGTTAAAAAGATACACAACTTAAAACTGCACGCCCACACACTCTGCTTTCAGTCAAATACTTAGTCAGCGTAAGAGGAAAATACAGCCAAGACTCACGCGGTGCATAAATTTCCAAGTCGAACTTATTTTTTGTCACTTGCAAAACCCAGGGCGGATACCCTTGTAAGGGTATTCGCACCAACAGCAGCGTGCACGGTGCGGCACTTGGGTGAGTTTCAACCTAGCGTGAGTACTCACCCCTTAGATGGGTTAGGGTAACGAGGCCCTGACACGGCCCCGTGCAATGGTAACACGCATATATCAAGAAATGGTCCAATTTTTTTGTCATCAGAAACAAAAAAGTCATTTGTTTCTGTTTTGTGGGTATGCCCCTAAAACCCTCTACCGTCTGCCAAAGCCCATGACCTCCCCGCTGTCAACGGCCCCACGGCCTCCCGACGGCGGGGGGAAGTCAGGCAGCTGCCTGTTGCGACTGCTGGACTGCTGGACTGCTGGACTGCGTTCCGTTTATCTTTCGCCCCAATCACCACCCCCCGAAAGAGGCATTCCGCTGCCAATGCCGCCCATACCCGCACCCATCCCCATGTCGCTGTCTCGACCAGACCGAAGAACAGCCCCCGACTGGTAAGTGACGCTACGCGACAAAGCCATAGCCTCGGCGCAGTGCTTCGCAACTGCGGTCCCAGCGGACCCATAAAATTCTGGCGCAAAATTCTGGCGCGGTTCTCGCCATGGCCGCCGACTCGCAGGGTGGCGGGGAAGGGGCTATTGCTGCAGGGGCAAGGAGCGCAGCTCGAAAACGCGCCGTGAGCAAGGAATTTGAGCGGGAACTGTGTTCTTTCATTTCCTGCTGAAGGGAGGACGGATCAGCCGCCCAAGTAGAATGAACCCTAGATGTGGTACTTCGATTCGAACTAACGCCAGGCTGACACCGAGCGCAATTTTCTCATTTATGGGTTCGGTATTTGCAAGGTGAGTCGAAGTGGCGGGCATAAGAACGACTGCGCGCCGAGGAACCGTATCGGCAGCGGGACACGTGTCAACAAAAGAACCGACTATGTAAATGAGCCGTTGGTGAACTGCTGTGGCAGTGTCGGCCAGGAGAACACGCGCATGATTGCCCAATCAGAGAGCGACTGTGTGCGCGCGGTCTACCCCTCCGCACGTCAGCGCACTTAGAGAGAGAGAGAGAGAGAGAGAGAGAGAGAGAGTGGGCGAAAGTTACGAGCGGTGAAGTCGGGAAGCAAGACGAGCGCAAGGAATCATGATCAGCAGCGGGCGTTCCTCCGCGGTAGGCGCGGCGCGGAATGCCGTCGCTTCTCTTCTTCGGAGTTCGGGATCGGGATCGGGAGGGCAAGGCGGTGTCCTGCGCGTCTGCACGTCTGCCACGTGTCAGCAGCCTCAGCCAAGTCAGCATCAACAACAAGCATGGGGCGCAGAGGAGTCCATCTCTGCAGATCTCGGAACGAGTTTTTCTCTGAGAAATGCGACTGCGTCGCCGCCCGCTTCTGCTCCGTCGTCGATCTTCCATCATCGACGGTTGATGTCAACCTCATCAGGCGATCGCTTCACGGCCACGCTTTTCCCCGGCGACGGAATCGGACCGGAGATCTCGGCGGCGGTCAAGAAGATTTTCGCGGCCGCTGATGTGCCCATCGATTGGGAGGAGCACAGAGTGGGAGAGGTGGTTGACCCCAGGACAAGCAGTCTTGTCACGCGGGAAAGCATGGACTCTGTTCTTCGCAACAGGATCGGCCTGAAAGGCCCCATGGCCACCCCGATAGGCAAGGGCCATAGATCGCTTAATCTTACCCTAAGGAAGGAGCTTAGTCTCTACGCCAATGTCCGTCCTTGTCTCAGTATCCCGGGTTACAAGACAAGATACGACAACGTGGATGTCGTCACGATCCGCGAAAACACAGAGGGAGAGTACAGCGGTCTCGAGCATCAGGTAATTAAGGGGGTCGTTGAGAGTTTAAAGATCATCACAAGAAGCGCTAGCTCAAGGATTGCAGAGTACGCATTCAAGTACGCTAAGGACCACGGCAGGAAGAAAGTCTCGGCCATTCATAAGGCGAACATCATGAAGAAGACGGACGGATTGTTCCTGGAATGCTGCAGGGAGGTTGCGGCTAATTACCCCGATATTATATATGAAGAGGTGATCATTGACAATTGTTGCATGCTGCTTGTGACTGATCCTGCGGTGTTTGATGTGCTTGTGATGCCTAATTTGTATGGGGATATCATCAGTGATCTGTGTGCGGGACTGATTGGTGGGCTGGGATTAACGCCAAGCGGGAACATTGGTCATGATGGGGTCGCACTCATGGAGGCCGTGCACGGGACCGCGCCCGATATCGCCGGGAAAAACGTGGCCAATCCGACGGCGCTGCTGTTGAGTGGAGTGATGATGTTGCAGCATATAGGATTGACACGTCATGCGGAGATTATTCACAGGGCTGTTCTCCACGTCATCAAAGAAGGGAGATGGCGGACCATGGACCTGGGTGGGACGGCGACAACGACAGAATTTACCTCAGCTGTCTGTGATGCGCTCAAGGCCTAGGCGGCTATAGCCCTCTTGTAGCAGCTCAATAATTTGTTAACACCCTCACCCTCTTCTCCTATCCGTTCTTCAATTCTTTTCTCTCTTTTCTCTTATTCTTCTCTCTCTGTCTGTCTGACTGTCTGTCTGTCTGTCTGTTTCGCTGCATACGCTAGGTCGGTCGTTTATCTTTTCGCCGCGACCCCCCTCGTAGTTTTCCCTTCGCTTTTCCCCGTTTTCTTGTCCCTCCCGCATTTGCTCTCTCTCTCTCTCTCTCTCTCTCTCTCTCTCTCTCTCTCTGTATCTCTCTCTCTCTATCTCTTGCCCCCTTCCTCTCTCACGCACTCTCGCATTGCTCGGTCGGCGCTCGGTGCTTCTTTCTCCCTGATAGCCTCTCGCTTTTCGTCGCGCACCTGCTATCTTCTTGAGGCACGAGCGCTCTACTTCTTCATAATCGTAATTACAAGCTTTGAAGATTAATCGCGATGAATGTGAATTACTCACCCTTAGAGTTTGCTAAATGTTCGCTGAAGTTTACTACTTCCTACTGTAGTTAAAGGTAGTGACCAATAAAATTGAGTTTTCAATTATTTGTTGGCCTTAATGCCTCTCTCTCTCTGTTTCCCTTTAACTTATGAAATTGATTTTTTCATTATTTGTTGGCCTTCATGCCTCTCTCTCTCTCTCTCTCTCTCTCTCTCTCTCTCTCTCTCTCTCTCTCTCTCTCTCTCTCTCTC